CGTTCTCACTCTGAGACGTATTTTTTTTCAGGTCTCTAAGTCATCTCGGAGCCGAATTATGAGGTCTTGTAAATGGCGTTATGAGTCACGAATTTCTGAGGCAGACCCCGCCCACTTTGGTGCATGCTTAGCCCAACAATGGCATTCAACCCTACTCCATACCTCAATACTTATGCACATTTTCCCCGGTCGCCGGAACTTCTAGGAACCGAGTTATGAGGGCGCTGGCACTCGCCCACATCCGGGTGTGCCACCAGCGTTCACATTCAACCTCTACTCCTACTTTCACCTCTGGTATTTTTTTCAGGTCTCTAAGTCATCTCGGAGCCGAATTATGAGGTCTTGTAAATGGCGTTATGAGTCACGAATTTCTGAGGCAGACCCCGCCCACTTTGGTGCATGGTTAGCCCAACAATGGCATTCAACCCTACTCCATACCTCAATACTTATGCACATTTTCCCCGGTCGCCGGAACTTCTAGGAACCGAGTTATGAGAGCGGTGGCAAACTCCGCCCACATCCGGGTGTGCCACGCCCAGCGTTCACATTCAACCTCTACTCCTACTTTCACCTCTGGCGTATTTTTTTTCAGGTCTCTAAGTCATCTCGGAGCCGAATTATGAGGTCTTGTAAATGGCGTTATGAGTCACGAATTTCTGAGGCAGACCCCGCCCACTTTGGTGCATGGTTAGCCCAACAATGGCATTCAACCCTACTCCATACCTCAATACTTATGCACATTTTCCCCGGTCGCCGGAACTTCTAGGAACCGAGTTATGAGAGCGGTGGCAAACTCCGCCCACATCCGGGTGTGCCACGCCCAGCGTTCACATTCAACCTCTACTCCTACTTTCACCTCTGGCGTATTTTTTTCAGGTCTCTAAGTCATCTCGGAGCCGAATTATGAGGTCTTGTAGGGGACGAAATCGAGCAACGTATCGTTGTGGTAAACCCCGCCCACTTCGTTACATGCCTCGCTCACCGATACCAAATGACTATCATCTCTTCCCCAACCTCATTCTACTATTTTCCCATCTCCGGAACTTATTGGATCCGAGTTATGAAGTACCGTGGCAACTCCGCCACGTTAGTGCGATGCTCCGACTGCGCCACGACACTTGACTTTCTGCCAACACTTATACGCTTTTCCCCACACCCCGGGACTCATAGGAACCGAGTTATGAGGCTGGTTGCAAACTCCGCCCTTTGGTGTAAGCTACGCCCAGCCTTGACATTTAGCTTCTCCTCTTCTCCTAACCTGTATCCACTGTTTTCAGGTTTCCAAGTCATCTCAGAGCCGATTTATGAGCTCTTGTAGAAAACGTCGTCTACTTCAGGACACGCTCCGCCCATTGTGGGCGGAACTCCGTTCACATCATGTGTGCTGGAAATACCTTAGACATCGCTGCCCTGCACTAATTTCTTTTCTGCTCTGTAGGCTTCCTCCTAACCTAGT